ATTAACGAGGATAACGCGTGCAAAGTGAAGAGAGTCACGTGACGAGGTGTGCGGACCTAAAGGTTAATGTACTTTTTAAAATTTACAAAAATGTCCATTGAATAATTGGCGGGCCATGACGTCATGAATCAAAGAATGGTTCAAAAATGCCCATTGAAGAATCAGCGGGCCATGACATCATGAATCAAAGAATCGAGAATCATGATGTCACGTGGCGATTTACGGCATGGAATCGCCGGTTCTTCTCTAAAACCGGGCATGACGTCACATGGCGATTTACGGCATGGAATCATCGGTTCTTCTCTAGAACCGAGCGATTTTCGATATTTCACTGCCAGCGATTTCTGATATTTCACTGCTGGTTCCCGAGTCGAATCGGACGAGTCCGATTCAACTCGCCGACTTTTGAATCACTGGTTGCATGTATTGGCTCTTTATGAAAGACATTAAAGTACAATTGATATTTTTTATTAAAAAAACTCCTGAAAAGAAGTAGCAAATACAACAGCCATAGAAGAGAAAACGACAGTTTTATCATTTGCAAATCTCAAGTGGATATTTTGTATTGCCATGGAAGGGCAAGATGTAATTCACCAAAAGAATGACACTACAAGTTGACATGCCAATGAAGATGATTAAGATGGTGACCATGAATGTAACTATTGAAGTTGTGATTATGATAATTTTTGTAATGATGAAGGATATTTCATAAAATTAAATAAATGAACTTATTATTGTTATAGTCGTGTGCCTGTCCTTTCATTTCTAGAGATGCTTGTTCTTTTATCTCTAGAGAGACCAACTAGGCTACTGTGTTACATTGATCATGAATCATTGCTAGCAGAAGAAAATTGTTATCATTATAAATGAGAATCAATAAAAAAAGCCAGCTAACCATATAGACTACAAATTAGGCCATGATGAGTGCGATGAAGAAGATGATAATGATGATGATGATGATGATGATGATAATGATGATCACAAACATTACATTAAAAAGTTCAAATTTTCGGTGTTATAAAACATCAAGAAATAGTAAGTTCCTAAAAATGAATACCTTATTATGGATTTGTGATATTTGACTCTGCAAGTTTATGAAAACTTCAGAGGAACAAAAAAGATAAATGAAAAAAAAGGGGTAGCAAAAAAAAGGAGAAGACAATTACCATTTTGGCTAACAATTCTTCGCGATACGGCCTTTCTATGCCAGTGACCTTAAGAAAATGAGCATAGAGAGGTTCATCAAGCACCTCTGTGTCATCTCTCTGGAAAAATTCCAAACCATTCATAGAAAATTTCTATGTGAATAACTAAAACAAAAAGAAGAAACAAATCAGAGTTCCTCCACTCAGCATATATAATGAATTTTACATCAAATTTATTTCAGAACCCAGTTAATGGAAATTTTGAAAACAAATGCTCTTAACTGGATCAAGGACAAAGTAGAACAATAATTAGAATTACCCAATTGATAACATTCTTTTAATACAATGCCTCATATATGAAAAACCCCATTCAATGATATCACTTTCAACAAAATATTAAAACTGATAAAAATCTAGGCATTTGAAGTGAAATTCTATCACATTTCTGGGAACGTCAAAATACTTTAAAACGTAAAACCCAAAAAAAGAAAATAAAAAATAATGCATGAAACTAAAACAAAATGTCAAAACTAAGAAAAAACTAGGAATTAGAAGTGGAATGACACCATATTTATGTGAAAAAACCCATACATTAAAATACTTTTAAAGAATAAAAACCCCCAAAAAAGAAAAAAGTGCATGAAACTAAAACAAAACCACAACCCTGAGATCAAAACAAAAAATCTCTAATCAATCCAAATGTCATATTTCTCAGCAAAAAGCGATCTTAAAAAACTTACAATAACCGAAGACTCAATAAAAATATCAAAAGACACTTAAAATCGCCAAAAATTCAATCAAAACTGCCCAAAAGAAACACATGAAATGGGGAGTAGGTACCTGAGCAAAAGAGTACAGAAGACTGGTACTAAGTGATCTCGGAGCCGACCATGAATGTATCACCTCTACTTCTTTCTCAGCCATGATTTCCTGCAAAAAAAATTCCTTGTTTTCTCTTAAAGAATATAGCTTTTTATTGAATATATCGGAGAAAAATTCTCTTGATGGGTTCAAGTAATTTAAAATAACCCTCGAAATAATGCATAATATATTTTTTTCAAATTTGTATTCATCTATTTAAGCATGGAAGATGTCGGTTTGTCAGACACCGGAATCAGAACATCCGTAATTACCCTTACAATTAGTGGAAATTTTCTCCTCCTCAGACCTCAATGATATAAGATTTGAAGGCCCAAAATGGCAAATATAATTGAGGCTTTTGGCCTTTTTAGAATGGGAAAGTGTAATTTGTATTTCTTTTTTTGGAAACAGAAAGAGCCCGCTGACTCCCAACGCCTATATCTGACAAGGACGTTGTAAAAAATTCAAAGGGCTAAAATGAATTTATAAAAAAATTATATTTTAAACATTAAATTTCTTTTATTTATATATATATATATATATTATTGATAAGGAGCGGAATAGACTTGGGACCCGACCTGATGTCCGCACCCTACCTGGCCACGAGTATGGGTCCAATAACTGGATCAAGTGGACCTGACCTGAATAATATTATTATATAAATAATATTTAATATGAAAAATTATTTTATAAGATCCTTTCTCATCCATGTGTATAGAACCCTAAAGGATTATCATTAAATTTGGTACGGATCGTCATGTCCCACACTCATGTAATAATTTTTCTAGATATCTGTGCTATCATTTGGGGTCCTTCACATATAGGTGGGGGAGAGTCATATAAAATCATTACTCATTTAATACATAATATTTTAGAATTCACAATAAATCCATTTGAGAGAATTTAAGCGTAACACAAATAGGCGATAAAATGAGAGAGAGTAGACTTTAGTGGGCTGGCCAAATGTAGTGACAACCAAGTACAGCACCTGCTAAGAAGTGTGAATTAGTTCAAGTGAAAGAACCGAAAGGACAAGAGGTAGGGCGGACGAGGTTGGAAGTCTTCCAGAAAGATATGGGGACTTATGGCCTCACTTAAGATATGGCTTTTATTCGAGCACAATGGAAAATCAGGATTCATGAAGCCGACCCCAATTAATTGAAAAAAAGCTAAAATGATGATAAATAATTAACATTTAAGTAAATATAATTATATATTTGTTGGATTATCTATAAATAAAATCATTTACCTTTTTGTACAAAGATCCCAACCATTTTCACTTATTAAATGTCAAATTAGATGGCTTGAGGTGAGTAAGGAACTTTGAATTTTTTTCTTTTTTTGAAACTTGTGTTTAATCAATGACACTCTTACAACCATTTATGTTGAAATCGAAGGGGCGAGAATGATTGTAATTTCCTTGTACAAAAAGTAAATGGTATCTTTATAGACAATTTTTATATTTTTAAATATAATATTTAAATAATACATGTATATATTTAACATAACATTTAAATATATATTTTTGGGTTGGCTCCGGTTCCGATAACTTCTATGCCAGGTGGGTCCGAGTCTGGCCAGACCCAACCCGTACCTAGCTCGTTGCTACCCTTGTTTAAGATCATCTTAACCTAATTCATGAATATCTAAAATTTAAAATTAAAATATATTTTTAAGGTAAATTTAAGTGGGGCACGCAGATGCAAGTATGAGTCAGCTCTTCAAACACATCCTTAATTTAAAAATCTATATTTAAGGTAAATTTAAGTAGGGGCATGCATATGCAAGTATGAGTCAGCTCACTCGTAGAAACACATCCTTCTTTTTCTTTTTTCTATTTTTAACATCAAATTGTACTTTATACGGTGCATACGGATCATAGCGGTAGCGGTATCGTGTACCTTCAAATTTTATCATGGTATATAATTTTGAGGTAAAATGTTATTAGAAGTATCTCAAAATCTATTTTTATATTTAATTATAAAATTTTAAATTTCAAAAATAGTTAAAATCAAGTAGATCTATAAACATACGAAAAATCTTGAAAATGGATGGTATAGATAGTATGTTGTAAAATATACTATTTATGAGACTTGAAATCTTTTTATTTTTCATGATTATATATCTCAATGTCAAGATGATCAATCAAAGGGTTTTTCAACATTAAAACTACTTATTCCAATGGATTATTGAGGTGCTAGTTCTACATTATGAGGTTGCATCCTTATATAAATTTTTTCCTTTTGGAAATTGGAAAGGGCCTTTTTAAATTCCCCAAAGCGTGTGGTTTGTATAAAGTTGCAACCTTAAACAAGCCAATTAATGCGCACTTCCAAAATTTATCGTAACATGTAATTTTAGTGTAAAAAACTATTAGGATTATCTGAAAATCTATTTTCATATCAAATTATAAAATCTTAAACTCTAAAAATGGTTAAAATCAAGTCGATCTATAAACATATGTAAATCTTAAAAATGGATGTTCTAGATAATATCTTGCAAGATGCACTATTTATGAGACTGGAAATCTTTATTTTTCCATATTCATATATCTCGATGTCGTGTGGTTTCTATAAGGTTGCAACCTTAAACAAGCCAATTAATGCGCACCTCCAAAATTTATCGTAACATGTAATTTTAGTGTAAAAAATTATTAGGATTATTTGAAAATCTATTTTCATATCAAATTATAAAATCTTAATCTCTAAAAATGGTTAAAATCAAGTCGATCTATAAACATATGTAAATCTTAAAAATAGATGTTCTAGATAATATCTTGCAAGATGCACTATTTATGAGATTGGAAATCTTTATTTTTCCATATTCATATATATCGATGTCGAGATGAACAATATGAGATTTTTCAACATTAAAACAACATTTTTCTGATGGATTTTTTAGGTGCTTCTTTAAATCTACCTTTTAAATTGCAACCTTATATAAACTTTTTCCTTCCCCAAAGATATACTACTCTTGTAGGAGCATAAGGGCTATTTGCTCCCTCTGGTCCTATTTACTCCCTGGGGTAAATTCTAAGCTAGGGTTAATTTTTGGATTCCAAATTGTTTCGTTGTAACTTGTAACCTTTTAAAACTAGCAGCCTCAAAAACAGAAAAATACAAATTCCATGCTCCAATGCTTGAAAAAAAGTAACATCCCAAAATTAAATAAGGACTTTATGATTTGGACTAGATCTAAGTGTACAAGAACTCAAAATTTAACTTTTGGTTTTCGAAATTTCATCTAGTGGTTCTTAGGTAGGTCGCTAAATTTCATATCAAAAGAATCTCCCATGTAGCTAATATGCCTAAGGGAGTTAGTGTATGGTATATGCTCCCGCGAGAACATGCTATACGCCCTCTTTTGCTTATTTGGAGAATTGTAAACTTTTTTTTTTTTAGAAGTTCATGGAAATTTATCAAACCATATTTGAAATTGGGAAATTTTATACAACTATGAGATGTGAACCGTACAAGATTATACTCATAGTTTTTTTATTCAATTGCAAAATATTCGTCAAAATCCACCTGATAATGAGTTGGAATAGTCATAAATGGGTAACATTTGGGTATGGATCTTTGGATCCGATTGGTCAGATGCAGAACTGAATGGTGCTTTGGATATGGATTTGGGTACAAAAGGATCTGACCTAATTATTAATATATTACATATTATTTTATAGATATAAAATAATGTATAAATATATTTCTTGGATCCGATCGAACGTAATATATTACATATTATTTTATAGATATAAAATAATATATAAATATATTTCTTTGATCCGATCGGACGCAGATCCAAATCCTATGTATACTTTTTAAATTCAGATCCGGATCTAAATATTCTAGGTCCCATGTATGCTTTTCGGATATGAATCCCGATCCAACCCATTCTCTACCCTACCAAACTTAGCCCAATTCGTGGGACTTTAGAAATTACATTGAAGAAAATGAGTGAGATGTTAAATTGTCTATATCTTGTGTAGCTTTTGATAAACTTTTAGAAAACTCATCATCAAAGTTATATTTTTAAATATCACCACTCCAATACCCCCTCAAATATCTCATGAAGTTCCAACACATCTATATGTAGGACTTGGAAGTATTGTGAGCCAAATAATATAAGTACCCATGCTTTTATATTTGCCGTATAATTTCATTCATTAAAATTTATTATACGGACCCTAAAACAAATAAAAGGTATTTGTGCAATGAGCACATATATTATATTCATGCAGGAGCATACCGCACAATTATTACTCGATCAAAACAACTATTTAAGATTTTTTTCAGTCTAAGATTTTTTTAACCACATAAGAATTTACTAGTCAATTATTTTCAAAAGAAAACTTTTGAATTTTGACTTTTATGAAATTTAGATCTAGCCATTCAAAAATTTGCCAGTCTCTAAGAGATATTAGTTTTTTTTAGTATATATTGAGTTTATTTCAGAACTGCTAAGGTAATTGGATTATAGATTGTAGAGATAACATCCTCCAAATTTGAGTATCCCTAGCATGTGTTTTGCTAGAGTGAGTAAATGAATAGTATACTGCCATCACTCTCTCAGAGACCCAATGAACTGCACAGTTGCATTCATATGAGCATGCCCATGACCAATTTAACTGCCTGAATAAGTGAGATTATACATCCGAATACTCGACCTATCATATGAGTACATGTATGAGAGTAGTTCCAATGGCTTCATATTCTCAGTTACGTCTACAACTGTAAGATGTGCCTCGTGCGATAGCTTAAGAAAATAATTGAAAGTATCCATATTTCGAATAACTGTTGCTATCATAGCCATGGGTTTTCCCTTTGTCAACAATCCCCATGCCGAACACTCACCATCACTGTCATTGTTATTTCTATCACCATCACCATCATCATCATCTTCATCATCATCTTCTTGTTGGTTATTCTTGTTTGCCTCATATTTGCCATTCATTTTACCTCTACAACAACCATGTTCACCTTCATGATCCCCACCACCATCATTATCATCAAAATCATGCCCATTTGCCCCACCATGTCGACTTGCCTTCCCCTGATGAGGCCAATAATTTTTTTGTTTCAATAGGGCAGCAAGAACCCGAACAAGATGCGGCACGCATAATGGGTCGTAAATAACATCGGCTCCTAAACTGTGAGCAAAATAACAGAGTGAGGATTAAGTCACCATGCTTATACTACCTATGTTGGGTAGTAGACGCTCCATTCCTGGAGTCCCTCTGTGTTGACATTTCCAGAGATGGGGGATAATGAAAAATCATTAAAGCTCAAGGTGGGGGTTTGAACCCCAGGCACCTTGTCCCCTCTTCATGCATTTCACCACTATGCGAACTACATGTAAGTGTAATAAATATAAGAATATTTATTATATACATTAACATATAGCATATTATTGTCTTCCTGTATCTCAATTTTAGGCCGCTGCATCTGACACAGAGTGTGTTTGATACATGGCGTTTTTGAAAGTGGGAGGGACTCCCACAAATTATGGAAGACTGCCCTTACATCATTTTTTATAGAAGGGCGGTCTTTAAGAAACAGCTCCAATTTGATGATAGAAAAAGGCTGCGTGGAAGGCGCAGCTCCCAAACAGTGATATCAAACCTGGAAGTGGGAGTTTTTGGGACATTCAACTCCCACTTCCAAAAACTTCAAAAAATCAAACATGCCCTTAGCCATGCATCAGAACAGAGTTTTAGATACCCGTGTGTGTCTAGGTAATATAAAACAATACAATGAAAAGCTGAAGAACCACTCACACTATGTCGGCTCCAAGGTTTTGAAGCTCACTTTCTGATGCCGACTCCCAAGACAGGTATTTGCACTCTACCTGAAAACCATAAGCCACATTGGTCTAACAAATGCAATTTTTGAGGGGCTTGTTAAAAAAGCTAAGGAAACTATAGGGACACCCAACTCAAAACCTGACCCACCCCTTAAAAATATTTTAACAATACAGGCTGGTCACTTGTAAAGTTGGGATTCCAAATAATTTCCCTGGGTTTTTCCTACAATCCATTTTTTATTGGTGTCATGATCATATAAGGCACAAAGTCTTTGTTTAAGACTTTTAAGTTACATAGATAGACATCAATGGTCTGGTCAAAAGCCTACTTGTTGCCAATCAAACTCACCCGTTTGAAATTCTGATGCTCTTCTAGCTTGGTCTCAGCTTCTGTTACTGATAGGTTCTGCTCCAAATTATGCTTCATGTTCACCAAAGTAGAAAAACCCCCATCCGTTAGTGTCACCTGTGCAAAATTCACCACATGAAGCCAGGGGAGCCAAACAAAGGCTAGCTGATGAGGATTCCGACAGCCTTAGAATCTTTGTTGTAATATGGCATATTAAGTTCTGTATATCAGACATTCTTACAATTACATGGATTAGGGAGAATCCAGTCTTATATCAAGGGGTTTTGAATCTCATTGCCACACACCAATTATGTCCTTGTCTTCTCATAGAATACTCAGCTTGTCTTCTACTTTTTCTAGTGAAAATGAGAGAATGATGCAACCAATCTGGATGCCTCAGACTATGTACTCATATAGTTTGTGGTAGGGATACATATCATATATCATTGCCTTGAGCTATAAATGATTTTGGTCACAAGCCAGCGTAGTGGGATGATTCAGAGTTATTTTGAAATGGATTCGATCAAATAGCCTTGTGCTATGAATCATTTTGGTCCACAAGCCAGCCTAGTGGGATGATTCAGAGTTATTCTGAAATTGATTCGACCCAATATTGGATTGATTTTAGCCAAATTTTCATGAAAAAATAGAAGTATAAACCAATTCTTTCAGCAGGTTTGGCACACTTCATAGAATTTATTTTCCCATCTGATCCCGGCAACATGTTATCTAAGAACTGAAGGGCAAAAGCAACACATTATACAACAAAGGTAGCTCTTCCAATATGTAACCACTACCCAACCCCATACCCATATTAGCAAAGCCAATAGGCAATTGACTGCCCTCTTATCCAGTTAATATTAAAAAGGAAATAAAACATAAAGTTCTGAGAAATACGTACCTGTCGCATAAAAAGCACCATGACAGTTTTGAGCAACAAACAGAATTTGAAATTTCATAAATTGGAAACTGCACATACTTGATTACATACCTTGGAGGCATTGACAGAAGCAAGGCATATACCAACTAAACCAAGACCTGCACCGACCTGTTGCATGGAAAGCATGAGGAACACAAACAAAAACCAGATACCGGTGCTTGCTACCAAATACATAACATGAAGATAAGCACCATACCTCCACACAACACTTCTTCAAGAAGGTCTCAGGAAACGAAAGTATGCATTCTGATAAGAAAAGGCTAGAAGGCCAGACACAGCATCTACAAAAGCAATGGTACCAAATCTCAATATGATATTTCAGTTCTTTATTGGAGAATTCGTGCACCATTTAAACTGAACTATAAAATTGAAATTTGATCCACAACAGAAGGCCTACAAGTGGCAATTTTATTTGGGTTTTTAGTAAAACACACTTAGGAGATGGTCAATATAACACTCAAGCCCTCTGACTTTTGGTCCCATGCCATAATTTATACTAAGAGAAGTTTGTGATTTTACCCATCCACTTTAAACGGCTTTTATTCTAAAATACAATTTCAAATTAGTGCTTCCCTAAAACACTGATATCTTACAAGTCATGAGATATTGGTGTTATAAACCATGGTATCTCATGCAGTTTTCTTTCAGAAATATATAAAACAAGATAATGGCATTTGAATAACTCAAGTAGTCCTTTGAAAAAATAGAAGAAAAATAAACATGTGTTTTAAATACTAACATCTTGTAGAAATATCTCTTTTTAAAAAATAGGCTTTATTGCTGAGGGGTAAATTTGGAAAGTACACCTCCTGACAGTCGGATGCAAACATGGAAAGGGTGGTCTTTCGAAATCCACAACTCAAAGTGGCAGAATGTTATCAGCAACTGCTTGCACTTAAGATATGAAACAATCAAAGAAAGACATTATGATAAAGATGTAATGCATGAACCCTGACCTACTGCAAATAGCTCTGATGCAAGTTAGTTTGATTAATTCAAAAGAGCAAGCTTCATATCAAAATATCAAATGTGAAAGTAATTTTGATCAGATTGATAAAATCAACAGTACTAGACCACTGAGAATCACACCAACCAATGATTCTCCATTGATTTGTTTCTTTAGACAGAAACATGAAAAGCAGAAATTTAGGGCAAGGATAAAAGCAGCAGAATTTTTTTTTAAGGGGAGATCTAAATGCAATAATAATCAGTAAGACACATATATCTGTGCAAAATTCAGTTAAGTTTTGATTCCCCATGCATTGGCACTGTCAATTTTGCAAAGAAAATGTCTCTGACAACTCAAAGATAAGTAATAACAAACATACCCCGTATCTCCTTCGAGCATGTTTAATGAACACCGCAATGGCACAACCATTTTTTTTGGAATTGGACATTTCAGATCCCCACTATGGCCTATAAAACATGTTGAAGGAATCATAATCCAACCTAGAAAGGAATATATAAAAACAATGCAAATCAAGGAACAAAGAGATTCAATATTTCTTACCAGGGAATATAAATGAAATTCGTTTATAAACCCTAGCTGTGCCCTTAAATACAGTGTCATCCTACCCAAGCAATCAAGAACATAAACAATACAATTAATCTCTGCACTGCAATTGTCCATATAAATGCACGAAGAAAATAATACAATTGCCGATGCACCCTAAAGCGGCTCAGACCACTGGCAGTTCAGCACATGCCGATCCGAGAGCAATCTTTAGGCAAGCATGGACCAGCCTCTGAAACTTTCCTAAGGAAATGATATTATACTTCAAACTTAGCTCAATAAATCAAATAAAAGATAACTTCTAATGAAGAAATAAAACATTACACAAAGGATGCAATTAAAATTTGACATAATCCATAGAGCTTATCATTTACCTTGAAGGAGGTCATATAATGCACATACTGCTCGTACAAGCCATCCAACACCTCTTGTGAGCTTGATTCAGCAGCAAGAATAACCTTCTTTAAAAAGCTTTTAATGTATAAATGGCTGTTGGGATTGTTGCATGCCTATACACAAGCATCTGATCATGTGAGAAGTGTACCAAATTATTCCTAACTATACAGGACAAATAAAAGTTAAAGGTTGGGTGGTTTGCCAAGCGTTGCAGCCTTAAACAATCCAATTGAGGCGCACCTCTAAATTTTATTATAAATGTAATTTTGATATAAAAAATTCTTAGGATGGCTTGAGAATCTATTTTTACCTCTAATTATAAATTTTTAAACTCTAAACATCGTTCAAATCAAGTAGATCTATAAACACATGAAAATCTCGAAAATGGACGGTCCAGATAATGTGTTGCAAGATACACTATTTCGCAGATTTGAAATCTTTTTTTTTTTTCTCATTCATACATCTCGACGTTGAGATGATCAATTAGAGGGTTTTCCAACATCAAAAATACCTTTTATGGTGGATTTTTGAGGTTCACCTTTAATTCTACATTTTAAGGTTGCAACCTTATATAAACTTTTTTCAAAGTTAAAACAATTAAAAAAAAATAAGTTGTAAAATATAATGCAAAAAAAATAAAAAGCTTGACAATTAGGACTTTGTCTTTTGTCAATTTTCTGATCTATTAGAAGATTATAATGTGTATCTTTAATGTGGACACCCATAAACACAATTAGTTTAAGAAAAAAGGTTTGTCAACCGTACAATCTATCACTGTATTATGGGCTTCATAATTCTCCCAAAGAAATCAAATACTCTTTTGGTTTCCAATCATGCTTCAGCCAAAGCAGGCCAATAACAAGCCAAAAATTAAAAGATTCAGCCTATCTATAGTTAAAACTAAAAATTTAATACCAAGCTACGCTTTCCCATAGTTGCCCATACATTAATCAATTCTAAAATCATCTTCTTCTTTTTTAATATATATAAAGCTATAAACAATATAACCTGAACTGATTCCCTTAAAGCAACTCTCACAAACCATCTGTCCTGAATAATTCCTTCCTAGCAACTATCTTACCATCCAATATACACAACTAAAGAAATTGCGCATCATACACATAGGCACAGTATCCCTCCCTCCCTCGTCAATTGGTCAGGTTTAAGGACCAGCTAGTGTATCCATTTTACACAAACTTGCATTGTTCTTGTTTTCCTTTAATTTTTATATCACCAGACAACTGCATCCATTTCCGTGTATTTTATTCATCGAATATTACAACGTTGGTCTTTATGCACTACGTCAGAAGTACAAGGACGCATGAGTTCAGAGAAGAACCTACCAGGCCATTGATACAATGTTCAGAAATGAAACGTTGAACTTCCTGTGTTATGGACCCTCCACCAAATTCTCTACATTTAAAATAGATATGTAAACACAACATTCTGAAACAACACATAACACAGGTGCCTGTATTTCAAATCAAATTCAATATAGGGAACAAAGCAAACATCTTAATCCACATAAAGATCACCGGCTTTCTTATATTATAACCCTTATAAATAGCAGTAATTTCTATATAGTTACTCTTTGCATTGTAAATATAATAAACCTCAATAAAATACGTTGTTGACAGAGTTTCAGATCTTATACAATGTAGTTTAGAATTTTAACAGGAATTTCAATGAGGAAAGTACACTGTAAGACGATGGACTAGGTTATCCTTAATTATCTATAATCCATCGGATTCATCGCCATCCAATGATAAAGTGGACACCGATGAAGAGAAGGTGAACACATCAGAACAGGACATGATCCATTTGGTGGGTCCGAAATGCTCATGTTCACCAACCATCATTGCATTGGAGAGTGACGATCCCAATGAGCTATGGTTTTCCATAATCTCCTGGACTATTAGATACTTCCCTGTTCCATTAACTAGGGGATACAGATTTGCAGATTGATTGAGAAAGACATCATTCAAAAGGTGTGACATGGCCCAGTTTACACTACTGATTCACCTCAAATTGAAAGAGTTAATTATTGAGTAGAAAAATGCTATAATTATATTACAATGTGATGTCAAAAACAATTCTTTTGTAATCTACAGACTCTTTATGGTAGAAGATGCAAACGCATTGATACATATGCACATCACAGAGAATAAATGAAGAACAGACGATTTAAACTATTATTTTTTAGATCCAAAGTACAACATGGGCATGTTCACAAAACCTCCATACTTGAAACGTATGTTGGGCATAACATTATCATAATGTTGTAAATCAGTCCAGCTTAGAAAGCTTTCAAAACAAAGGAGTCACGTTTACCAGAGCCAATGACCCCTTGGCCTATGTATGGTTTCTAAGAAGTTGCCACTTGACCTTGTATAATTTCTCTTTGATTTGAACTACATTATTAATTCATATACATATATTCAAACTTATGAGGCATCTATTACATATCAGTCGCTTTCAACTCCAAAATTAAAATTGGGTCTGAAGCTTTGCTTTCTAGCCAATCTATTCCTTGATGCCACTATGAAATATGTATCTTGCTTGTTCTAGAATCTAGAACTTGAATTTATGGTATTCCCCAATACAATAAAACAAAATAAAAAAGACAGAGAAAAAAGTGTTCCGGATTTGAACTTCTAGCTACAGTGACAAGTAGATTTCCAAATGAGGCGACCCATTAAAGCATACACGATGAATCTGGAACTACGATTATTTCTTTCAGAGGCCCAGTAACTTATAATCCATCCAATAATTTACCCCATCAAACAATAAAGTAAAAAGAAAAAACAAAAGATTAACCAATCTTTGAAAGAATGATCATTTTATTCAAAAATTCCAATAAACCAGTTCATGCACATCCAGTAATTACTCAATAAACTTGCATATTCAGTAAGGTTCAATATTTGAATAGACCAATCCATAATATTTCAGTTATTATCTGAAAAACACTTGCAATTATTGAGTGCAGATGATCATTAGTTCATCATAGCAAACAAAATAGATGAAATCAAAATATTATATCATTAGATAGGCAAAAAAAAAAAAACTGGAAATGAAGGATGAGAAATGTAAATGTAAACTTTGGGGGAAAAAATGGGGGAATACCTGGCTAAGGAGATGACCCAATCGGTGGGCTCCATGGCCAGGAAAGCTGCAATTAACCGATACCCATTATAGCTAGAGGCTTCAATTTCATCCCCCATTTATTCTTTTCTCTTATTTTTGCTGGTTCCAGTGATCTTCCGCACAAAATTTAGAGGCACCCACTGAACATTCCCCCCCCCCTGCTTTTTTTTAGCGCGTACTGTAATTTAAAACTTTTATATAGATTTGGTTAGGGTGTGGTTCTATAAGGTTGCAACGTTAAACAACCCAGGCGTACCTCCAAATTTTATCATAACATATATTTCTTGCGTAAAAAAATATTAAGATTATCTCAAATCCATTTTCATATCTAATTATAAAAATTTGAAATTTTTAAAATAGTTAAATCAAGTAGATCTATAAATATATGACACTCTTGAAAATTGATGGTCTAGATAATGTGTTGCAAAATGCACTATTTCTCATACTCAAAATCTTCTTTTTTTTATTTTTTTTTAGTATTCATACTTCTTCGTGTCGAGATGATCAAATAGAGGGTTTTCCAACATTAAAACAACATTTTTCAATGGATTTTTTAGATGTATCTATAATACTACATTTTAAGGTTGCAACCTTATATAAACTTTTTTCATTTGGTTATACTCTGCATCTATATACTTCTCACTATCATGTGACATGTATATATAAACTTTTCAAATAATAATTTGAAATAAATAAATAAATAATATTTTGATAGAGCTATTGTCCTATTAAAATAATCAAAGCCTCACTTCAAAATTCAACGAAAATAGTTGTTATGGCATAAAAAACACATTCAAATCGATCGTCCCAATCGTGACCATTATGATTGTGGAAAAAAACACGAGGATTTCAAGCTTTAAAAAAAATGCACATTATAACACATTATTTGGATCATCCATTTTGCCCTAAAATAAATGTTCATTAAGTTGCGAGATATGGATAATTTTTTTAGCTTTAAATTTCATAATTGGGTTAAAAATTGATTTTAGAGCTTTCATAAAGATTCCTAATACCCAACGTGTTTTCCGGACGATGACTCAAGGTGAGGCTTTTCTTTATTTTTCATAAAGCATGGGCCTTACATAGCCTGCATCCTAAACAAAATGAGTAGATTATCTCAAACTTTTGCGGCTTAATATGACGTACAACAATGTTCACAAACTCAACATGTCGAACTCATAACCGGCCGGTCAAATCATAATCGAGCACTTCCGATCTAGTTTTAGTTAGTTTTGGTGGTCCAACCAAGTATTGTAAAAAAATTCAAATAAATTTATATGAGATCCCAAAAAATGAGGGATTTGTTATTAATATATTTTTTTAATAGTTTTTATTATTTTGGCAAATTGTAAAGTTCTTTGGCCATGAATAATTGTTTTTATATTTTTTCCATTTAAAAAAAAATCAATAATACCCTATTCACAATTTGATTTTTTAAAATCCATTTTTTTCATGAATTTTCAACTTCATGTCGATGTACTTTGTTTAATCATATTGTAAATGTATTTTTCATATTTTATGAGTTTTGTTTTGTATTTCTTTTAACACTTTTTGGACCAGTTGAGACTTGCTCGGTTAGGCTCGTTGAAGCGGTTAGGCCCGTTGAAGCACCAGGTTTACCAATTTATGGGGGAATGGCTTGCTCGAGCTTTTGAACACCGATCTATATAAAAAATTAAAATACAATATGCACTATGAAAAAGTGGGACTTGAGTATAATGAACTATTTTTAAATTTAGACAAAAGATTGAGATTCTTTGTGAATTTCCAAACAACCACCTTATAAAATTTGGCACGTGAAACCAAGCAATTTACCAGTAAAGTTTTACTCATCTATTTTGTTGAGTAATGTGCAAAGGGAAAGTTTTCTATGTTCTCCCTACAGCATAGAAGTTCTCTCCTCTCCCTACCATCCAGCCATCCATTTTTTCTCAAGAGAGCTGCTCACCATTTGATCTTAGATCTGATGTCTCAAAGTACTTTATTTTTAGTTTTTTCAATACAATTTTTCTGAATATGAAATTTGATGCGTGCTATCTTCTCATTGGAGCGCACTTATAAAAAATATTAACAATAATTTTTCAATAAAAAATAATGACCAAAATACCCCTTAAAAATTCCAAGGGTATTTTGGTCATTTAAATTCATTGAAAATAATTTTTTTATATTTTTCATTAATTCGAGTTTAATAGAGGAATGAACGTCCAAAATCTGGTTTCAAAATATTTTATAGAACAAAAATTAAAAATAAAAAAGTGTAAAGACGTGTCATTGTGATTGGGACAATCTTAGCCCTCCATTAAAAAATAGACGGTTGGATAAGGGGGAGAATAGAGATTCTATGTTTAGGATCAAATAATACTATATATGGAGATGAGAACCTGAAAGTTCGGGCTAATATACTCACGAATTCAATAGTTAGAGGTTAGATCCACTTACTCTATTTTTATAGATATAGATACCTCATTTCTTATAATGATTCGAACAATGAAGAAGCAAGAATACTTGGGATTTGGCGATTCATATTCATATTTGAGTGTGTAGAATATCAAAATGAAAACTACCAAGCAGGAGTATGGTAGGTGCAGAGGGAAGCGATAAAATATATAGATGTCAGAAAGAATGCCAATAGAGAAAGCACTGTGTGGGGGTGACATTGACACTGAGAAATGAAAACTAGAGAAGCGAATTGGTAGATAACTAGAGAAGCGAATTGGTAGATACCCCCGTACTCCCAGTCTGCTTGTTTTGTAGTTTACAAATTCCATTAAAAGACGAGGTTTAAGGCCTAGGCTCTATGAAAACAAAATAAAGCCTCACCTCAAATCCTAGCCCGGAAAGCACTTTGTCAATGAAAAAAATATCCATGATGGCTAGAAAATCAATTTCCAACACTGATAATGAAATTTGAAACTAAAAAAATGGTAAAGATCTTACAAATCTATGAACATTTATTTTTAGGGTTAAATGAACGGTTTAGATAATTTGTTACAATATACACTATTTTTAGAACATGAAATCCTAGTTTTTTTCCACAACCATAATGTTCAAGCCAAGACGATCAATGGGTCGAAGCCATGTCTAAATATTGCACCTGTATACTATTTGGGTCCATGTCCCATCGGGTACCGACCCGACCATTTGCCACACCTATTTCCATGTCCAAAAATTTGATGCTCATGTGAAACTTATATGATATATCTTGTTTTTTTATGTGGTAGGTGCCAAAGCAAGCCTGCCTTGGAAGATACTCATCTCTCACCAACTTTGCTATTTAATACCCTCTCAAAAAAATACTTAACAACTGCCTTGATAGTTATAGACCAACTTGCACTTTTTAAGCTGCAACTTCCATTTCCAAAGTTGAGAGGCCATTATTTCCATGGCCTGGCTCACAAGATTGCACTTTCTCCTATTTTTTATAATTTTTCAAAATTCACACTTGGTCGAAGGTGTCGATCTAAATCCACCAGCAATTTTCAATTTTGGGGACTCGAATTCGGACACCGGCGATCTCGTAGCAGGCGTCGGCGAGCCTCTCGACCCGCCAAATGGCCGCTCATATTTCTCTCGTCCGGCGGGCCGATTCTGCGATGGTCGTCTCATAATTGATTTTCTTGGTATGTTTCACATTCATTGAGGTTTCTTCCACAAAATATTTGATATTGTTTTTGCAAAAAAAATTCCAATATCTTCTCTTTTTTCATAGATAAATTTTTGGGTATATCCTTCCACTTTTTTTTTTTTTGGGTTGTTTTTAGTTTTATTTGGGATAAAGAAAGAAGAGCATGGGGGGAAGGTTTGAACAATTGAGTGTACAGTGTCCTGCTTCAACCATAAAATGAATTTACATCTCCCAAGTGAAGGGGAGAAGCTATGAATAGCTTTAAAATTTAAATTAACATGATGCATTTCAGTTTTCTTAGTAACACATGCATATGGAAAATTCAATGAAATTTATATATCGATTTATTATTTATTTTGCAGCTGATGAAATGAATTTACCATTTCTCAACGCATATCTGGATTCGTTGGGATCGCCAAGTTTCCGAAAGGGGAGCAATTTTGCGGCTGCTGGGTCGACCATACTTCGGGCAACCGCCGAATCTGTGAGCCCATTTTCTTTTCGGATTCAAGTGGCCCAGTTCTTAAGATTCAAGGCCCGTGTTCTTGAATTACTTGCTAAAGGTAAACGTACAATCTAATTTTCCATTTTGTTATCAAGTTTAAATAGAACTTGCCACAAAAATAAATAAATAAATTTTTAAAAAAGAAATTAATTTTACTACAAAAATTATTATTTTTATTTAAATATTATTTTATTTCTAAAAATATATTTTTATTTAAATTAAATATATTAATTACGGACTCTCTCTATCTGCCTTTCTTTACAGGAGGAAAAACGAACAAAATTATTCCAAGAGAAGATGATTTTGACGACGCTCTCTACACATTCGATATTGGACAAAATGATCTCGCGGGTGCATTTTACTCTAAAAGTGAGGATCAAGTATTGGCTTCCATCCCAACAATTCTATCAGAATTTGAGACTAGCCTTAAGGTTACATGACACATGGCCTCTCTCTCTCTCTCTCTCTCTCTCTCTCTTACTTACTACTACTACTAA